TAACATCGATGTAGATTTCGTAGTGTAAAAGTCATCAAAAAAATCATTGTTAATAACGACTATTGATGGAATGGACAATACAATGACAATTTGAATCATCAAATGGAGTTATTAGTTTGGTAAGTGTTTGAAAGAATTTATTTGGATATTTAGTTTACATGATTTACTTGAAAGGTCTTATTTTTTATTATAATAATAAAGTATCATCTGAACTAAAAATCTAGTCAATGCATTTTTGTTTTCTTTCCATTATTAAGTGAACTAAAGAAATCTAGTCAATGCAATTTTATTTTGTTCAATTATTAAATGTGTGTAATATATATATATAAAATGATACAAACAACAAAAAATTATAGGGGAGTTGTATTTCGTCACTCTAAATTCACATGTCTCATTTCCTCCCCTTTATCAATCATTACCGGTACTTTATATCATGTACCTGTATTCATTCATTTTAATGATTGTATTAATGTATACAATTTTACTCGTTATGATTAGCTTGTATGCACTCACTTAATTACGATTAGGTTGTATGCATTCTCTTAATTACTATCCGTACACTAAAGGCAAATATACCTAAATGCAAAGGTGAAAACAATGGTATAAATTGTTGGAAAATAGCATACACAGCGGAAGCATTCCAGAATCATACATCTTGAATGAATATAAACAACAACCACAAATAGTCATCACATACAAAGTATGCTGAAAATTAACTTAGGATTACCTCTTGAAGCGTGTGCAGATATCTTGAAGTAAATCCAACTCCAGCTCTATAGTATTCTACAGTGATCCCAATCAACAATTGAGCTCTATCAATACTTGGGTGGGCAAGTATTGTATATAAAATAATAAAAAACAATCTAGGTTAGAAGAATGCCTATTTATAGAGATGTCTTCCTAGTCCAAAGAGGAGAAGAAAAGCAAATTCTTTTTCTTCAAGAAAACTTGAAAACACACGTTTCTTCCCTTTAAAGAAAAAAGACACGCTACTTCTCCATCTTCTACTAGAAAATATGATTCTGAGTTCTAGTTAAATTGGGCACTGGAGGGACCACAAAATTTATTACTGAGGCTTCCTATTATGAAATTAATTCTAAATAATTAATTTGAATTATTCTTACCATAGTAAATTACAAATCATTCCACTAAAAATTCATAATTGAACTCCTCTATTTATTTCGAAATTCACCACTAAACACTTATTTGATTCCCCGTGTTAAGATTACCGATACTAATCAATAAATTAAATTATAAATTAAATTACTGACGAATTTAGTTCAATGATTAACTTCTTTTAGAGCAATACTTAACTTATTTCATGTGCCAGATTCATAAATCTACCGGCCGGGTTTACACATGAAAACTTATAAGCTTCTCATAAAAGGTGTATCATCTATCTCTATACTGAGACATGGATTCCATCAATTAACTAATTATTTCACCAATATATATTATTATCGTCCAATCTACCAGGCATATTGACCCATCTCAAAATCTCACCTTTTAATAAATCAAAATGATAATTAATATATACAGATCATAATCGTTATATCAAGATTAAGAATATAAGTACATTTAATAGTCTAGAGAATATGTTTTTATCAATCAGTCTAAAACAACTATCTCTGCTTGGTCTCGTTCAATACATACCAAATGCACTAGCACGAGAAGTTAGAACCATGCCATTCTCATAATCAAGATAAATTACAATTAATCTCATGCTACAATCTTTCTGATGATTTTGCCCAAATTTCCATCTATGATTGTGAACTATAAATTTTAATTATAAGAACCGATGATTTAATCTTCTGTGTATAAGCTTAAACTCTATACACCAAATCATCTATATAAGTTAAGGACATATATATGACAATTGATCTATTTAATGTAACACTTTATTGAATTGAATAAATGAATGAACAATTGTTCAATATTAATACTACATCAAAACGCATGGTTAATAGTATATCCTAACAATCTCCCACTTAGACTCATAACCATGCACCTACAATTCTAACACCCATTCCTTCAACATTTCTATCAAAAGACTTTTGCGGTAAAGCTTTTGTGAAAGGGTCTGCAAGGTTTTTTTCTGATGCAATCTTCACTACCATCACATCCCCTCTCTGTACTATGTCTCGAATCAAATGGTATTTTCGCTCAATGTGTTTTGCCTTCTTATGACTTCGTGGTTCCTTTGAATTTGCAACCGCTCCACTATTATCACAAAACATTGTAAGTGGCATTTCTATTGCAGGAACAACCGCCAAGTTTTTCATGAAGTTTCTGAGCCACGCTGCCTCCTTAGCTGCTTCAGAAGCTGCTATATATTCGGCTTCCATAGTAGAATCAGCAACACAGGTTTGCTTGATGCTTCTCCAAACAATGGCTCCACCTCCCAAAGTTAACACATTTCCTGAGGTTGACTTTCTAGAGTCCATATAAGACTGGAAATCTGAGTCTGTGTACCCTATGGGCACCAACTCATCCGAATGATAGACTAGCATGTAATCCCTAGTCCTTTTCAGGTACTTGATTATATGCTTAACTGTTGTTCAATTTTCTCGTCCAGGATTTGACTGATATCTGCTAACCATGCCTACGGCAAAATAAATGTCAGGTCTAGTGCATAACATGGCATACATGAGACTTCCTACCACTGATGCATAAGGAACTGTCTTCATGCTTTCTGTTTCCTCATCAGTCTTAGGACATTGATCCTTAGATAAAGAAATTCCATGTCTAAAAGGAAGAAAACCTTTCTTGGAATCGTGCATGTTAAACCTGGTAAGAATTGTATCAATATAAAGAGCTTGAGATAAACCTAACATCCTTTTCTTGCGATCACGTAGAACCTTGATCCCAAAGATGTGAGCAGCTTCTCCCAAATCCTTCATATCAAAGTTTGTGGACAACCATTTCTTAACTGAATTCATCAAGCCCACATTATTTCCTATGAGCAAGATATCATCTACATATAATACCAAAAACACGACTTTATCCCCATTCCACTTTTTACACACAAGACTCATCAAGACATTGCTCAAAACCAAAAGACTTGACTGCAGTGTCGAAGCAAGTGTTCCATGCCCTGGAAGCTTACTTCAATCCATAAATAGATCTTTTAAGCTTGCACAACATGTGTTCTTTTCCTTTTTCTATGAAATCAGCTGGTTGTCGCATAAATATGCTTTCATCAGGACTTCCATTAAGGGAAGCTGTCTTGACATCCATTTGCCAAATTTCATAATCATAATGAGCAGCAATGGATAAGAGAATTCTAATAGACTTAAGCATGACTACTGGCGAAAAAGTTTCCTCATAGTCGATCCCTTCTTTCTGAGTAAACCCTTTTGCAACAAGTCTAGCTTTGTAAGTTTGCACTTGTCCATCTACTCCTCTCTTTTTCTTATATATCCACTTGCATCCAATGGGTTTGACTCCATCTACAGGTGGTTCTACAAGATCTCAGACTTTGTTGGAGTACATAGACTCCATTTCTGATTTCATAGCAACAAACCATTTTTCTACATCTTTATCTTGTAGTGCTTCGTCGTAATTCACAGATTTGGTATTCGACTCTTCAATGATTCTGTCAAAAGACTCTCCCGAGAGTGCATACCGAAGTGGTTTTGTTATCACTCTCCAACTACGACGAGACACTACAGTTGCAGGGGCAGGTTCAGATAGATTTACATTATTATGATCTTGTGGTGGAACCACATCATTTTTAGGATCTTGAGTTTCTATGTTATCTTCAGTATCTTGCGGTGCAGAGATATCAACAACTTCTTCCTCTAATACAATCTGCTCACTATTACTCCCACTACCTTGATGAATGAATTTTCAAGATCTTGTACTTGCAGAATTTTATGTTTGTTAACATCTCTCCACTATTATAATGCAATGGTATGTTAACTCTAACATGTGGGGTCCGAATTTGATTTTCATTATTTTCAGTAGATTGAGTTGTTTTCTCTTTGCTCAATTCCTGTAAAACTAGTTTACTTCTAGGAATATGGTTTGTTAAAAAATCCATTTCCAGAAACTTGGCATTGGTAGTCACAATGACCTTCTTTCTTTAGGATTATAAAACATACCACCTTTCGTTCCTTTAGGGTATCCAATAAAAACACATACTTCTGTTTTAGGTTCCAATTTTTCTGCCTTCCCTTATAATACATGTGTTGTACATCCCCAAACCCAAATATGTCTCAAACTAGGTTTGTGTCCAGTCCACGGTTCAATGAGTGTCAAAGGAATAGATTTAGAAGGAACTAAGTTCAGAATGTAATTTGCAGCTTCTATGGCCTATCCCCAAAACGAATGCGGCAAATCAGAGTAGCTCATCATTGATCTAACCATTTCTAAAAGAGTTCTATTTCTTCTTTCTGCTACACCATTTTGTTGTGGTGTTCTAGGTGCAAACATTCGAGATGTAATTCCTTGTTCTGATAAGTAACTAATAAAATCATTAGAGAGGTATTCACCACCACAATCAGATCGCAATGACTTGATATATATTCCATGTCGTTTCTCTGTTTCAGTCTTAAACTCTTTGAATTTCTCAAAGCATTCAGACTTACGACGCAACAAATATATATATTCATATTTTGAGTAGTCATCAATGAAGGTCACGAAGTACTCATACCCACCTCTAGCTTGAATGTTCATTGGGCCACACAAATCAGAATGAATTAACTCTAGTTTATCATTGACTCTATTTCCTTTTGAGGGAAAAGGTCTCTTAGTCATTTTTCCTTCTAAACAAGATTCACATGTTGGTAGTGCCTCCACTTTTAATGAACCTAAAGGTCCATCTCGAACCAACCTTGAAATCCTATCTAGATTTATATGACATAGACGCAAGTGCCATAGATAAGTCTCATTAAAATCAAAAGAACGTTTTCTTTTACTTGAAAGGTTAACATTATTCAATTCTACGATTTGTTGCAGTTCTGGAGAGACATTAATAATAAAAAGACAATCAATCAATGTACCAGCAGAGACAATATATTTATCATAAATAATAACACAACCGTTATCAGAAAAACTAACATCATAACCATCTCTCAAAACTTTAGAAACTGAAATCAAATTTCTTCTAACAGCAGGTGCAGATAGAACGTCTTTCAAAATTAAAACTCTACCACTATCAAACGAAAAAGTAATATTTCCTAATGCTAAAACTGGAGCTGCAGAGCCATCTGCTTGAAAAATGCTAACTTCACCTCTAATCAGCTTGCGCGTTTCTTGAAACCACTGCATAGTAGTGCAGATATGATCAGTGGCTCCTGAATCTACACACCATGAAGTGGTAGAAACAGCCGCTAAATGTTTCAACGACAAGTGAAAGTGAGTTACCTGGTTTGTTTTTCTTCTTGGTTAAGAAATTTGGACAATGTGTCTTCCAATGACCTGACATCTTGCAATGAAAACAGTTACCATTAGACTTTTTCACTCCCCCAGTTGGAGGTGCATTTGCCTTAGCTTTGTGAGCCTTTTTCTTCTTCTGTCCACCTTGCGGTTTAGAAGTAGAACCTTTCTCAACATTAAGTGCCATTGATTGTGCATGTTTTTTGACAAGGGTCTCTACCGCCTATAGCTCATTCAACAATTGTGCCAAAGATAGACTCATCTTATTCATATTATAATTTAGGCAAAATTGTTGAAAACTATCAGGCAGAGACTGCAATATCATCTCAACTTGGGAGTCATTGTCGATTTCAGCCCCCAAAACCTCTAGTTCATTCAAAAGACCTATCATCTTCAGAACATGGTCTCTTACAGGGGTGCCTTCAACCATCTTAGTGTTCATGGAAGTTCTCATGGCAGTCTGCTTAGCTGATCGACCCTGGTCTCCAAACATTTGTTTGAGATTCTCCAGATTTTGAAAAGCAAACAACATGGCTTGATGTTGATATTGCAAAACATTTGACATTGAAGCCATAATGTAACATCGCGCCATCTCATCAGCTTTGCGCCATTTTTGATAAGCTAACTTATCTTCATCACTAGACTGATCATTTGGTTTCAATGGACATTCCTCATGAAGCACAAACTTATATTCTTCATCAGTTAACACCATGTCAAGATTTCTCCTCCAGTCAACATAGTTAGAACCCTCTAGTTTGTTTTGACCCAAAATAGTACTAATGGGATTAAAAGGAGACATGTTGAATCTGAGATTGAAGAAATAGTTACAATAGATCAGTAACATGGTCATCTAACATTGAATATTTACATTCAAACTCATGATATACATATACATTCATGTATCTTAAATAGCCAATCATTGGGATTGGAGAACTATTCATACAATATACATATATAATGACCGATTATTCACTCCATAAACATATACAGACCTAACTCAGTTGGAGAGTCTACTGTTAGTTTAAGTCAAGTGAAAATCCTCTAGTTGCATTGATCCAATCATATATTACTTAGTTTAGGAGAGTTAATACAAATTATCAAACTAGTAGTTAAATACGTAATGACTTGTATTAAATTCATCTGATGGGGAGGAAGGTCAAAGCCAATACATAAACTTAATACTTCATTACTATTTAATCTCTTGGTAATTTAAAAAAAATATACTCATCACCATTTTATTTTCTTGGTAAATTATTAAAAAGAACTTTCATCACTATATATATATATATATATATTTTGATTTATACAAAAAATTTAAGAAAAAATAAAACATAAACATCACTAGTTCAATTTATTCAACGTGCCATTTAATTCATATAGCATAAACAATATCCTCTATCATGGGACACCAAAATATCTCACACATATGAACAATTACATGAATATGAGTACTATAGTTTAATGTAAAAAAAAATTGTGGCCTTATAGAAATAATATCAACATGCATTACAAAAAGAAATCATTCGCTGGTCCCACTACCAACTTTTACTATTCTATCTTTTGTTAATAAAAAAAAATCCAGTAATAACATAATGAGAACAAATTCCAGCCAACATTTAAAAATTCATCTCATAAAATAGTCTTCTCCTCTTTTCTTAATATATTAGAAAACAACCAGCCAACATTAAAAAATTCATCTCATAAAATAGTCTTCTCCTCTTTTCTTAATATATTAGAAAATAACCGGCCAACATTAACATGAGAAAAAAATTGTGAGCTCTCTTGCAAAATTACCGCAAAAAAAGAGGAAAAAAAAACGAGCATCCATTAAATTTTTTTTATTTATATTATTTAACTTACAGGACATTATGCAAGATCTCATGAAAATTCTATGAAACCTTAGTGGATAATTTTTAAAACATTATTACTGTATGCACTATACAAAATAAAAGAATTCAAGTTTTATCCGTTTTTTTTTTCAAAAAATAATAACCGCGATGCATACATTCACTTGCACATATACATATTTTCAATTGTTTAAAAATGCAAGTATGGCTCTTAATGCCAATTGTTGGAAAATAGCATACACAGCGGAAGCATTCCAGAATCATACATCATGCATGAATATAAACAACAACCACAAATAGTCATCACATCCAAAGTATGCTGAAAATTAACTCAGAATTACCTCTTGAAGCGTGTGCAGATATCTTGAAGTAAATCCAACTCCAGCTCTATAGTCTTTTACAGTGATCCCAATCAACAATTAAACTCTCTCAATACTTGGGTGGACAAGTATTATATATAGAATACTAAAAAACAATCTAGGTTAGAAGAATCCCTATTTATAGAGATGTCTTCCTAGTCCAAAGAGGAGAAGAAAAGAAAATTCTTTTTCTTCAAGAAAACTTGAAAACACACATTTCTTCCCTTTAAAGAAAAAAGACACGCTACTTTTCCATCTTCTACTAGAAAATAGGATTCTGAGTTCTAGTTAAATTGGGCACTGGAGGGACCACATAATTTATTACTGAGGCTTCCTATTATGGAAATAATTCTAAATAATTAATTTGAATTATTCTTACCATAATAAATTACAAATTATTCCACTAAAAATTCGTAATTGAACTCCTCTATTTATTTCGAAATTACCCACTAAACACTTATTTGATTCCCCATGTTAAGATTACCGATACTAATAAATAAATTAAATTACTGACGAATTTAATTCAATGATTAACTTCTTTTAGAGCAATACTTAACTTAATTCATGTGCCAGATTCATAAATCTACCGGCCGGGTTTACACATGAAAACTTATAAGCTTCTCATAAAAGGTGTATCATCAATCTCTATACTGAGACATGGATTCCATCAACTAACTAATTATTTCACCAATATATATTATTATCATCCAATCTACCAGGGATATTGACCCATCTCAGAATCTCACCTTTTAATAAATCAAAATGAGAATTAATATATACAGATCATAATCGTTATATCAAGATTAAGAATATAAGTACATTTAATAGTTTAGAGAATATGTTTTTATCAGTCAGTCTAAAACAACTATCTCTATTGGTCCCGTTCAATACATACCAAATGCACTAGCACGAGAAGTTAGAACTATGTCATTCTCATAATCAAGATAAATTACAATTAATCTCGTGCTACAATCTTTCTGATAATTTTGCCCAAATTTCCATCTATGATTGTGAACTATAAATTTTAACTTATAATAACTGATGATTTAATCTTCTGTGTATAAGCTTAAACTCTATACACCAAATCATCTACTATATAAGTTAAGGACACATATATGACAATTGATCTATTTAATGTAATAATTTATTGAATTGAATAAATGAATGACCAATTGTTCAATTTTAATACTACATCAAAACGCATGGTTAATAGTATATCCTAACACAAATAAGTAATAAAAATGAATACGTTGCACAACTAAGATGAAAATATAGTGATTATCAAAAACTTCTTCTTCATAATATACCTAAAAGACAAGCGAAATACAAAATACACATCATAATGTGCAAAACTTTTTCCAAATATAAAATCAAGATAAAAATACAGAAATACATAGGTTTATCATAAAATACCTCCTTCAAAATAAACAAAAATATAGTCGAAAACAAACAATTCATAGAGAATCGATTAATTATATTTTCTGAAAAGTAAGAATATATATAATAATGGAAAGAAAATAAACTGCATTGACCATTTTTTTTTAATTTGGATTCATTTATTTAATAAAATACCCATAATTTTAGGAGAAGAGAAGAAAAATTATAAAATAGATAAATTTAGAAAGAAATCCAACTCAAAATGACCAGATTAATTGTATTTTCTAAATAATATAAGAATAAATTGAACGTATATACATACATTTATGTATGTATGTCTGTATATACGTTTAATTTATTCTTATATATTATTTAGAAATTATAACTAAAAGAAATTGCATTGACTAGATTTACTAAAAATTGGCCCTCTAAGTAAATAGTTAGGTAACCAAATACCCAATTGTATTTTCTAACTAAAAAATGACCAGATTAATTGTATTTTCTAAATAATATAAGAATAAATTGAACGAATATACATACATATCTGTATGTATGTATATACGTTTAATTTATTCTTATATATCATTTAGAAATTACAATTAAAAAAAATTGCATTGACTAGATTTACTAAAAATTGGCCCTCTAAGTGAATAATTAGGTAACTAAATACCCAAATAAATTCTTTCAACAACTAATAATTTCATACTATAAAAACGACATTATTTGATGCATCTCGCTGATAATCGTTACTGAAGACGACTAATTTCACGATAAATCTTACCATTGAATTTGTTGTTACAAACTAAAAACTACATTTGATATTGAGTTGAATGTTAGCATAGAGATAACCACACTTAATAAAGATGAAGAAAAATGTTTAGTCTACTCAAGATCGATATAGATTTCATACTATAACACCAAATTACTCAAGATCGATATAAACTTCATACTATAAACCAAATTTTACTGTAAAGAGTCATTCAGAAAATCATCTTTAATAATGATTTACCTATGGAATGGACGATACGATGGCTGCTTGAATCATCGAATGGAGTTGTAATTAATTGGAGAAGTGTTGAAAATGGTATTTAGTTTACATGACTTACTTGAAAGGTTCTATTTATAGTAAAGTATCCTCTGAACTAAAAGGTCTAGTCAGTGCTATTTGTTTCATTCCATTATTAAGTCAATGTATATGTCCTACTTAATTTATTCTTATTATTTTATAGAAAATACGATTAATTTGGTCACTCTAATTGGATTTCTTACTAAATTTTATTTTATAATTTTTCTCGTCTTCTCCTAGAATCATAGATTAGTTTTTATTTTTTTTTAAAATCTAAATTTATAACATTTGGTCAATGCAATTTATTTTCTTTTCATTATTATTTCATTATTAAGTACTCTTTTCTGTCAACTTTTAATTGTGATGTAATGGTTTTTGCAAAGTCAATTTGACTGAACTTTAAAATTAAATTAAATTACATTAGTTCAATATTTAAACAAAAAATTTAGGTATTCAAAATTATACAAAAAGTACTATAAATTTTAGTTTTTTACATATCAATATAATAAAAAAATATTATAAAATATTAGTCAAATTTTATAATTTGACTCTAAAAAATTATAATAATTAAAAATGGACGCATCTAGTATATATAAAACTATTTTTGCACATTCATCTTTGATTAAAATAACAAAATTAAGTTAAAAGGTTAATCCAAAAAGGTCTATTACTCCAAACTCCCCTAAAATTTCCAGGTCAAAGAATTTGAGAAAATAGCCAAAAAGTCTTCCTACTCTATTATTCAATTCTCAATTACACACTTATATTTTATAAAAATTTTATCATCCCTGAACATTTTTAAAGTATAATATATATTTCCTAAAAACTCAATCCCAGATTTTTATAAAAGAAAAATTAAGTGGCACGCGCTTGCCACGTAATTTACCTTTTAAAAAATTTAAAAATTATTTTTTTCTTTATTTTACTTTGCCTTTTATATTACCCTTCTTCTCTTTCTCTTTTCTTTCCTTTCTTGCTTCTTTTTTTTCTTCACTTTGATGATATGATTCTTCAAACTAGTAAAGCAAGCTCAAATTTAGAAATTTTTGAATGAACTTCTCATAAACTTTCTGTACTATCAATTTAAAAATTCATCATGATTTTTATTCAATAAAACAAAAAAAAAATCAAAAGGTCTATTGATGTAAAAAGGTTTACCATTTGATGTTGTTTGATAGGATATGCAATGAATGGGATGCATTGAAGCTTAATTATGAACACAAAAGAGTCACCATTTTCAATCTTTAGACTTCAAATTAAGTTTTTCAAAGTGGGTTTTGAATTTTGGTTGAAATTATTGGGAACTTAGCAACTTCAAAGATGAACTCGGTAACATAACTAAGGAAACTTATAAATACTCAAGGGTTCCTTAATTTCTCCATTAATGACACTAAATTTGACCCTCTTGACTTTTGATTTCAAACTATTGTCAAATATTCAAATGAATCTATCGTTAAAAAATTGTAATTCAAGGATGACAATCCATTTAATGGTGGGAGGTTGACGAAGGACTTGGTAATGGTCTAGTGGAACTGAGTTTCCGCCTGCTATGGTGGAGAGAGAAAAAAAAAAGAAGGTAAAAACAAAAAATAAAATGAAACTGAAAGGAAAACTTAATTATTTTTTTAAAATTAAAAAAAATACAAACTGAAAAGTAATCTAAAAATTTAAGTTTTCATTATTAGTTTTATTTCTTACTCTCTCGTAGAGAGAGAGTGAACAACTATAGTTTCTTTGTCACCTCAGCATTCAGGGAGCAAATAATCTCACTTTAAAATAGTTTAAAGGGTAATAGAACCTCCGCAAAGTATAAGTGTATAGTTAAGAATTGGATAATAGATTAGGGAGGCTTTTGGCTGTTTTCTCAAAAATAATTTTCAAAATTTGAGGTTAGAAATGACAATGGAGGCGGTGTAGGGCAGAGCAGTGTGGGTTGAGCTTAACCCATAAATTTTTCCATAAATTTTTAACCGCCCCACATAGGAAGACTTTTCATAATTTTTTAATATTTTCTTTTTCTAGTTATGTTTGATACTAAAAATAAAATTCATAAAAATAAATTCATTTTTTCATAAGTTGTATTAATTTAATAGGATAGTGACTTAAAATTTTATTTTTTTAGGTCAATTGCGAAATATGCAAGAAATTGTAATTTTTTATTGAACTATTTTCATCTATTATCTTGAATATTTTAGTAGCTTTAATATAATGAAATTATCTTAATAAATAATGTTCTATCACTCTATAACATGTATAAAATTAAAATCAAGTTTGAACCCACATAATATCACATATACCCACAACCCGCCCCGCCCCGCATTAATTTTTTTAAAAACCCACTTCCACCCACACCACATGACCTTAAGTCCACCCCATCACAATAACCTTAAACCCACCCCGCCCCGCCCCATTGTCATCCCTACTACCATATATACTTGAGGTGGTCCTAAATCGTGTGACCCCTCCTGTTTTCTTAGTCACTAAGGCTTCGGTAGATACCAAAAAGTAACCACATGCTTGGATTTAGTGTATTTAGGGTTTTATTGAGTTTTCGTATCGATATTAAAGATATGACATTTAAATTTAACTTAATTTTTGTATTGTAATTAAAGATATGACATTTAAATTTAACTTAATCTCAAAAGCTAGTTTATTTCATTCTCCAACAAATATGGATTCTAACACCACCTTCACACTCAAGCTCAAGTAAAGCCCAT